ATAGACTGAAGTTCGACGACGTCTTTCTCGTTTACGCCTCTGAAAATACTGAAAGGTAACCGAGAGACAAGTACAATAAACTAAATTTAAAAGATGGGCTGCGGGACACCTTTGTGAAAATTCAATTTTCCTTTTCAAAAAAATAATGTGTACAGCGACGTATTTCTCACTTATGCCATGTTAATAAGTTGAAGAGAAATATCGATTTTATCACAAAATTTTTTTGGCATAAGTGTCGCAAGGGACCTAAAACAGGAAAACTTTGTAAGAACATGTGAAAAACATCTTTATTTGTCTACCAATTTCTCATTAATGCCAATTAGAAATATGACATTATTATATTCGGAAAGCTCATAAAAACATTGGCATAAGTCCTACTAAAGACTAAAGAAAATAGGACTTTGGAAAAGCTGTGGAAAAAGAAAATTAAATTTTCACATAGGTGTCCTGGCGGGCACATCGTTTTCATAATCTTATTTGTCTCTAATGTATCTTTCAGTACCTTAAAAGGCATAAACGAAAAAGGCGTCGTTGAACTTCTACGAGTATCTCCCGGTCTATTATGCCATCGCAATAAATCAAAAACGTAATTATTGTCCAGTATTCTATCTTCCGTATGTACGTATCTTAGACGTACGTTGTCCCAAATTCCTAATGCAAGACAGAGACAATAAACCAATAGTCAAGGAGAGCTTAGAACCGCAGGTTTTGCGTACTTCTTATGGCGTTTTTTATTCTCTTATATCGATGGCATAAAGTTATACAAATGATATGGGGGCGGGTATCAGAATTATTAGGGGAGACTGCTGAAATATTTATATAATTTACTAATTTTGCATCGAAAATGAAAATACGACCGGACCTGTATATTATTATAGTATGTCCGCGCTTGGGTTGAAAAAAAAGGTATTTTACTCTTGTGATATTTTCAGATTTTTTTTATTTTCTGGACACCTCGTACATGAATTGTTAAGTTTAACTATGGCAACCTCATTTTATGTCCTAGTAAAACTATTTATTAAGTGTGCCTGTTTTCCGTAAAATGTAAAATAAAAAATTTTTTCCTCTTATTCACCCTAACCGCGGACATACCGTACATGACCAAGTTGGTTCATGGTGAGCAGTCTTTATGAGGAAGAACTAGGTTTTCATGAAATAAAAACTTGGTAATAGTGATGATGGATTCCATAATCTTGCAAATAATTAAGAACAAATTTATTATCTAGTAATTAGCAACATCAAGCTTATTGTTATTTTTAAATATACAGATAACTTCCAGTACAGGGTACACAACATTGCGAAGATGAAGCAATCATTATTCTAGTCATCTGCATATCCGCTTAGAGAAGAATCCGACAAACCATCAAGACCTGAAGTGGAATTTCTACGAATATTATTAAATAGATCTTTATTTATATTACTACTTGCTTTTTCATATTTCTAAGCACAACAAAGAGATAGGGGTAATAGTGATGGGCCATCATCATTCTATATATCTCTTCTATATGACTATCAGATTATTTTTTAAGGAAAATTATCTCACTAGTTATTTAGTTAAACATTGAAAATCGACAGCTACCGTCTTTTTTTCGTATAACTTCTTTGTTTCTGTTCAGAACCGTAACGAAACATTACCTAATTTTTCAAACAGGTCTGATTTTGTCAAGTGATTTTTTTATATGTATCCGAGTGCGGCGTTCTAGAAAATTTTTCCATGCCTTGCAAATACATCATGCATATAAATGAGAAATAATCAGTGAAAGAAAAAAATGTATTTGATACTCCGGCCCTTGCTGGCGAGAGTTGTTCCCGACAGTGGTATATACCCGGCATTTACCGTTAAAGACTGAAACATCAATCACTTTATTGGAAGGAATAATCGATTTACGTCCTGAAAGATGTTTTAACTATTTACAACGGGAGTGATGGATGTAATCGCGAATAAATAAATAAAGAGGTACGGATGAATTGCCGCAAGTTGTAACTTCCTTCGCATCGGATGGGAACGGTTTAATTCGATTTTGTAATTTAAATAGAACTGCCTGGTATTGGTAAATTGAGCGAACTTTACGAAGCTGCTACTGATACCGCCTGTGCTGTGAATGCAAAATGTGCTGCTTTGTTTGCATGGGAATATTATAATCCCGAGTTTAAAATAGCAAATTAATGTACTACAGAAGTTTTGGGCCAATATTTATTTATATATGTACATACATTTAAGACAAACAGTTGATTACGAGTCGATTCAACTTTGCAGTTAATTTGAAATTAAAAGGTATTCAAAGCGGAAAGTAATTAGATGAAAGTTATTGCAAGCACATAGAGTTAGTACAAAAACCTGAATGTCAGAATCTAACTGTTTATAAATAATAAGCACTAATTGTGATTGATAATATGTGCACAGACAAAATAGCTATCGCCCCAGACCGCTACTAGAATAGGCCAACAGTTTTCAATTTACAAATTGCTGATAGTGTACACCACCCCAGAATTTTAGGAACAATCAAATGCAGCGGCCCGCGTATCCTAGCAACATATAAACAACACTTTGGCAATGTTGCTAGGCGTACTTACGGTTTTATTTTGTTCAGCTTTTTATCAATATCTGTTTTATGCGTTACTGTATTTACTTAAATGTATGATGTAGGTATTGATAAAAATGTTTTAAAGAATTAACGAATATCTATGTAGTTTTATATGATATTCTGCAGCGGTGTCACAGTTGAATCATAATTTCGTTAATTAGCTACTATTTTAATTTTTTGGTATTAAAATACTGCAGAAAATATATTTCCAAATAAAAAATATTCGTAATGATATCTTAAACAGCTTGTAATATAATTTTTGAATATTTGATGATGATGATAAATTTGTATTTGTATATGTGTAAATAATGTAGGTACAGTTTTTTTTTTATTTTGACATCCACTTATATGTTTAATAATTAAAGATAGAAAGAAACTTTAAATACAAATGTACGACTTTTCCTTTATTTCTTTTGACATCAAAATTTGCTGGCATACAATATATGTTTAAAGTAAAAGAATCATTAAAAAAATTAAAATTCATCCGAATTGAAATAACAAACAACGATTTTTATAACTAACCTTTACAGCAACATAAGGAGATTACCTAAAAACGAAATATCATACAATACAATAACATAAAATACCTACAATTTTTATAAATTTTCAAGATGCAAGTAATTGTGATGATACAGTTGAAATATGCCTTAATTTACTATTTATTGCGTTAAAAACAAATTCAGAATTATCGAACATTTCGTCCTGTATTTTTTCTTTCAATACTTGTAAATTTTGAGGTCTGTAATAATATATTTTATTGCAATATTGCGATATTCCTGAAGAACTTTTGCACATTATTGTTATTTGAATAATACGGTTTAAATATGTTTTATTTTTCGTCATCAGAATAACCCATTTTATTTATTTTTTTAATTTTTTAATTAAAATGTGTTATTCTGATAATGATAAATCCCAGGTTTCCGAACATCATAGAACAGTTTTTCAAAATCTGTCATCATGCCTGTATTTGGAAATTGTTATTAGAAATATCCTTCTAATAGTTAATGCTAGAGTACATTAACGGTAGATATATGTTTTCTTGAGACATCGTAATTGGTTAATAAGCTGTTATATTTTAAAAACTATGTAATTGGTCCATCGCCTAAATTCCTCAAACATAACTTCTAATAGGGCCACATTTAAACACAATTATAAATGTTTTGTATTTTTGTCTTATAATTATTAGCACTGCAAGTAATAACTTCCCGATACCATCTTATTGTTAGTTGTGTCATATCTAATTATATTACATTTTGGTTATAATCTATTTAATACTTCATACAGTCATTAACTATAGTTTATATTCTCAAGCATATAACTTAACTGTTTATAAATTAATTGTCATTAAATGGACATCTCTTTGTGAACTTAATTTACTACTGGGAAGTTTTAAATATGTAGTTTTGATGTTATTATTATCTTACATTTACTTTATACGAAGCTACTGATAGACCCTTGTTTTTTTGCATTGCTCTATAATCAGAACGGTGTCATGTCAATAAAATTGATCAAACAGAAGCTAATGTCCACAGACAAATAACTTATACAAATCCCTATTGAAGATGCATTCAATAGTGTCATAAGGGGTGCTGTATTTGTCTGTGGGTACTGAATCATCGCGTCGGTTGGAAACGTTGACATACAAGCCGCAGAATACAAGTTACACAATTACATAAAAGGACTCTATGCATTTATAAAAGTTTCGCTTCCTATGGGAAGTGTTTTGTAAAGCTCTCTCATTGATTTATAGAAAGACCACTTTTATGTCTGAAAAAGGGTCACGCCAGACATGTGTGTTAATTCCCTTGGCTAGTAATACCACAAATTTGTTAGGTTTTATAGAGTCTTATAATGTAAAATCTTACACTACACAAGGTGTAAATAAATAAATTCGAAGCAAAATTAGTGGATAACTTTTTATTTACTTTCAAAGCGTTGAAATAGCCTCCCCATTTGAATAGCCATGAATCTGCAGGGATCAGGCGAGGATTTTTACATGAAAGACCCCTTCAATTATTTTAAACGAGGAATCACCTCAAATTACATACACTTTTCAGTCATAGTGGGGAAAAAACTATTTATTTGAATTTGTCCAAGCAGATAAAGTTTAATGCGTAAAATTGCTCATTTTTAGGGTTCTCGAATCCTGATATTGGCTGACCCATTTTTGCAGAAACTTCGGGCTAGCACCGCTGCGTTTTATTTTACTTTACGAGATTTTATGAAGCAAAGTTTTTGTACGTTAAATAAGGAAAATTGCTACTAAATAAAGTAAAATTATCAATTTATAATCAAAACTTTGTTCGCTAAAATTGCTGTTAATTAAGAGGCCAACTATGGTGAATACTTCGTCTTACTAACTTCGCCGTTAACTGAAGTTTGTTATCCTGTTTAATATAGTTTCTGAATTTTCAGAATGTGTTCGATGTTTCTGCCCGAATTGTCAAGTTTCGTGGCCGCCATGCTGTTCGCCGTACATCCCATTCACACTGAAGCGGTAAGTTGTCTCGATTCTGAATTTCTCATTGTTGCACGATAATTAACCTGCCAGGTAGTGTTTACTATATTAGAACCTTACCTACTTGGCAAGTTAAATTTATTCAGTAAATGGTTTAATGAATCTTCCTTGCCCCTAAATGAAACCTGACTGTCATATATTATAAAAAAAAACTACTGTGTCTCGAGAAACACGTTAATATATGTATATCCTGACTGATAGTATTTGTACAAATACGACAGAATATCACTCAAGTTTGTGACGGATGAGACCCATATCATATGTAGACTCCAGGTTTGCCATACGAGGTGTTCTATCACTCTCCAGTTTCTTAAAATTGCCAAAACCACCAGTAAAATCTAAAAAGCTCTTAAAGCTATGCATTCAGTAGGTTTTCTTCTTAGACATAGACCCGAAGACGAGTGCATGCGTCATATTCGTTGGCCTTGCACGTTTTGGGCATTCAAAAACTCAATAAACTCTTCAGATTCTGGTGAGCACCAGGAAACCGTACCTAAAACCTGAAAGTCAAATAAAATTCTACATGGCGAACTCAAGTCACAAACTCAAACCATAAATTTACCAGGAGACTGCGAGATTCCATCACCCTGCACAGCAAACAAGTGAGTGACGGGAGGTTATTTAATTCATCATCACCTTACCTCACGATTGACTCACCTAATACCGCAGGTATATTCTGAACATAAGAAGACCGAAAAGGGCGATGCGACTGATTTACGTAATTACAGGCCAATTGCACTGTTATCGGTATTTCCTAAGATATTTGAAAAAATTATTGCTAAAAGAATTACAATATTTTAAGGTCAATATAATATACTTCTTCCAAATCAGCACGGTTTTAGAACAAAACATTTTTTGCATTATGTATATGGTAACTTGGATAAGGGAAACAGTGTGTTAGCTGTGTTCTTCGATCTGTCAAAGGCTTTTGGCTGCGTGGACCATGACATTCTACTAAAAAGGGTGGAGTGTTATGGTCTTCGTGGTCAATGTAGCAAGTTATTAAGATGTTATCTGACGAGTAGAAAACAGTTTGTTGAATTTTATGGTACAAGATCATCGGACTTAAATGTTCATATGAGTGTGCCCCAGGGTAGCGTTCTTGGGCCCTTATTGTTTTTGTTATATATTAATAATAAAAATAGTTATTTATCTACTTATTTCTGCGCTTTTGCTGACGGCATTACAATTGTGTCAACTGATAAATCTGTCGAAAAAAGCAATTAGTGAGATAAATTTAAGCTTAGAGTATTTGTGTCGGTATTTTACAGATTCCAAGTTAGTCTTAAATTGTGAAAAAACTTATTGTATGCAGTTTCATACTATCCCAGCCAACTATACATGTAGTCCCCTTATAAAATTAGATAAAACATCAATTCAGCACGTATCAAATTTTAAGCTTTTGGATATTAACATAGACTTTTCATTAAATTGGAAAGTGCACTTAGTAAGAAGTGCGCCACTTGCTGCTTTGCTATAAATCGATTGTCTAAAATATGTAATACAAATGTAGTCAAAGTTTTTTATTTGTCAAAATTTGAGTCTCAGCTTATGTATGGAGTAATTTTTTGAGCAGGTGATAATACTTCTGTGAACCGTATAGTTATACTACAAAAAAGGGATATCCGTTCAATGTATCATCTTAACTATCGTGAATCTTGTAGATAAATATTTTGGGAACATAGTCTTGCATTTACATTTTGGAATTACTGTGTTTTGTAAAAAAAAATATCTCAAGTTTTAGGAATCAAAATGATGATCACACCTATTTTACACGATATGGTTTTGATTTGCAATATGATGCCCATCGTTTGGAATTGTATAGAGCTGATCCATATTATATTGGTGCTGTTCTTTATAATAAATTAGAAACTAGTATAAAATCACTAACAAGTTTTAGTAGATATATGTGTGCTGTAAGGAATTTTCTTTTAGACAACATTCGGTTAAGGAGTATTTGGAATTTTAGTGTGTTGATTTGTACATATGTTTCTTTTTTTGTGAGTAGTTTTATTGTATTTTCTTCTTTAAAAAATGCCTGTAAAATTTTTTGACATATCCTATATCATTGTATGATCAATTGGATGAATAAAGATCGATTTGATTTGATTTAGTCCTGTAACCCGGAGTTCTCAATGTATACGAGAAAACCCTTATTTCCCAAAATCACAGTCTGCTACAATTTTACATTTACCGACTTGACTTACCTCAACATTGCAAGGAGCCACCTTTTGGAAACTACTGATTTTCATGGAAGATGTTCGATGTACCCACCATTTGCTTGCACACAAGCTTCAGCGCGACGTATCCAATTCGCTCGCACGCGTTACAACATTGCCACGTTCTCTTCGGCAATCATCACAAGTTTGTGACATCACTTAACTCAGTTTTTGCTCATTTTTCGCCCCTTTAAATCTTTGACATATTGTTTTTCTTTTTGTATCGCTCGCTTTACTCTGTGAACAGTAATTACTAGAAGAAGACAACTAAAAAACTAATGTACTGATTTACTGGAGCCTTTAAGTGTACTTTTATTACTGTATTTAACAGAGTCGATTTTCTTGATGCATTCGTAACAGTATTCCAAGATTTCAGGATGATTGCAGATAGACTACTTTGCAGAGCTACATTCAAAGAGGAACCCACTAGATGTAGCAGATTTTGGGGCTTTAAGGAATAACAATTTCTTGTATCCATCAAGAGCTGTAGAGTTAGAGAAACGATTTTGTCCTCGTAGGTTAGGATATGCCTGTGGTATTCGATGGGTGGATAGTATTACTCACTTTTCTATTGTGACTTAAGCCCACCAAATGTAGAGTTTTCTGGTGCTCAGTTCAAGCTGACAGGTTGCAAGTGTCGGTCGATCTTTGGATACCCAAAAGCTCAACGAATATGCGTCACCTCGTTTCCAGGGTTGTCCACAAGCACAAACCTATCAAACATTACGGCTACGTTTTAGGTATAACTAATACATCGTTTTTTACTATTTAAAACGAAACTGGAATATGCATACATCGTTTTCTTGACTAATAAATTCATCGGAAAAGTGAACTATTGATTATGAAACTTCGAATAAACATTACTCATTTTGCATCAGTTACAAGTAACGAGAATTACCTATTCGCTGTTATAGAGCTACAGGTTCCCTTTATCCCTATATCCGTCCCTAAATTCTGTAATTGGGAACAATTGCCAACCAGTTAAATACGATTATTCAACTCTTTATCAAAATATTATCCAAATATTCTGCACAGTCCACTAATAGAGTAAATTTCAAAATGGTTTTGATCCTCCGAACCGTATATTTAAAATTTCAAAATTTTGAGCTTTAAGTTCATATAATGGTAAAATACTATTTAATCAATTTAAATATTTCATTTTTACGTTTTAAAAATTTCTAAATTTTTTGTATTTACCATTTTTTTGCTTTGCCAGTTTATCCAAATATTATCTTATTCATCTACATAGTCCACTAATAGAGTGAATTTCAAAATAATGTTGGTCCTCCGAGCTGGATATTTATAATATCTGTTTTGAGCCTTAAGTTTATATAATGGTAAAATAATATATAGGTATTTAGTCAGTTTATCTATTTCATTGATACGACTATCATTTGTTTTACCTACCAGTTTACATTAATAGTTTTTGCTCAATTCAAATGTAATTAAAAAGGAATCATCATTCCCAATTTCAATAACGAAAAAAGGCTGATCTTTCAATTAAAAAGTTAATCGTAATTGGGGTGCGTGCTTTATTCAGTGTGTAAGATTTTTGGTTAGGCAGAAATATTTTAATTAAAGTCTCCTGACTGATCTTTTTGGGGCAGGGGTTAATTTGATAACAGAAAAAAAAACTAGAAAACGATATTTGACTATTAAATATTTTTATATGACTACTATTGCCATTTTTTTCCCACTGTTAATAAATGTGGTTATTCTAAGAAAATTAGAGATTTATCTCTTATATTATATTATTTAGAATAAATTTACTTCTATAACTTAAGTCTCACTGATTCATTTTCACTCAAATACTTCTATTGTTGTCTGAGTGTATATATTCTAGTTGTATTAATATTAAGAAACTGAGTTAAAGTTTAGTCGTGTAGCAGGCACGGTGAGTAGACGCTTATGCGAAACACCTCAACATACATCCATCCCATTAATATAGATAATCCACCCCAGAGACTCGACTACTCCAGACAATACTTATATAAAATTTGTAAGCAGTAGTTTGCAACGCAACACAATAACCGTACAACTCAATGCGGTACATGAAATAATCTCGGTACTTAAAATATGCCCTGCAGTGTCTGTGCTACCCCTCAATTAATCACTTTACCACAGAATTTACTATGCAGGATTCGGCCGTACATTATTATCAAGCTTCGGTGGTGGGAGGAGACATCATAATGCTTGTAAAAGCCGGAGGGGATTAGTATCATTACCCCTAATCTACTCAGCCTGTAGCAAAGTGTGGGAGTGTAGGAGGTAATAGATTAATATTTTCGTGGTTGCCTCTTTATTTTAATTCAGTATTCACCTTGATACTTAATGCATAGTTATAATTATATGAATTCAATGAATATTTACCTTTATTTATCAAACATCTTTCGATATATTCGCATAGATGTATAATTTCTAAAAACCATTGACTTGGTTCATAGGAACTTTTTCCCTTAAATTTATTTAAATTTCACCCTATTTATTAATGGAATGTTCTTAGGGATATACAGGATGTGTTATATTTTCATTTACAATCATTTCTGGTCAGTCGAAAATCCACGGACAATACGGTGCACAAATTTTCGATATAGATTTGCAATATTAGAGGACCAGCTACTTGGACCGATTCAGTTTCCCGTTTGTCTGAATGGAGAAGGATACTTAAACTTTCTACAAAATGATGTAAGAGAATTATTGGATGATACACCGTTAAACGTACGCTTAACGTTACACTATAAACAAGATGGGGCACCACCT